TCCGCAGCCTCTCTGTGTTCCTTGGCCATCTTCCTCTTCCAGCACTCTTTTCCCATCAGCCGGGCTCCTTCGGTTTGTTGGTCTGCTCCCACCCAACCGCCAGACCTCTTCTTTGATCCTGACAGATGCTGCATCCTGGACGGCCTGTGTCTCCGTCTCCTATCTACACCGGAAACTTTTAACTTCTGCTGCAGCCTAACTGTGACATCTGAGGTCATACGTTTGACCTTCCTCCGCCTCCTGAGTTGCCTTCCTGGATTATTCTCAGTGAAGGAGTCAGATTCTGGCCAGGAGGGCTGCCTAGTCCTGACCGGGCCTCTCATGACAGAGCGCCATCGGTTGGTTGGAGTCATGTCGTCAGAGTCACTGCAGTTGGCCATGGAGGTGGTGATGGTTGAGGAGGAGTTCTTCCTGTATCCTTTAGTCTCGTCCAAACTAGACTCAGAAGCCTCAATCCAACATTGTCTGTGCTCTAGCGGATAGAGGGAAGATTCGCGATATCGCTTGCGGCCTCTGCGGCGGCGGATCTGCCTGCGCTGGTGCAGTGGACTCAGGACCATTTCCTCCCACAGCTCCCCAAGCTTGCTTTGCTCCGAGGTCTGCTCCAGAGCAGACACCAGGTCCTGCACCAGCTCATCCATCATGGTGCTGGAAACAAAGGTACAACAGAGTAAACTCAGGTGATGTCAAGACAAAAAGTTTAACATCATGGATGATGCTACATGAAAACAAATAGTCGGACATACAACAGCTATTACAATAAACAGAGGCAGAATGTGAAGCTAATGCTGAAGTGCCTAAAGAGACAGCTCCTCTGATGACCACTATATTCTGGTGTTGGCAAAATACATATGTTAATACGTATCAATGCATATCGATTCAGAATATTTGAGATGGTTTCAATCCTCATTTTCCGCAGGACTGATACACCGTCACAGCAGCTAATTTCACTTCATATAAACTGGGACTTTGTGGCTGCTTTGCTTGGGGCCATGTTCACTGGATAAAAAGGTGTAGGCATATTAAATAGTGTCAAGATGGTTGAGGCAATTCTGGGATTCTAGCTCCAAAATGGCTATGTGGCAAAACCCTTTAAGCCATTTCAATGCATTTAGGAACCCAAGAGTGACATCACACTTAATGACCTTGATTATGAATGGTTAAGTGCAGGTGAACCAGTAATTGTGGTAGCAGGGGTTGAAAAAATCAATATATTTGACAGGGTGACATTATATACCATGAGATGATATACATTTGTCTATCGTTTCTGTTGTGATTGTTGTCACTTACGATTTCTAGGTGTATGATGCCATTGTGAGCAAAGTTGCAAGTCAATGAGCAAGACTGTTTTATGGCAGCATTTGATTTTGTTCAGTATTGTATTTTCATATGGTTTTTGCATCAATGTGATGATGTATCTTGTATCTTGTTAGGTATTTCATATGCTGAATTATCCAAAACTCATATTGTTGTCTTGGTTATTTAGTCCTAAACTGTTTCTCAGGGGATTTTACAGAACATTTCAATATCCCATCATTATCAATATCTCAACAAACATAACATTACATACACCCATTTCTACCCAAAGTTGTCTGTAACTGTGGTTTTTACCAATGGAAACATGTTTTCTGCTTTTTCCAGAGAGGATTTCTCTCTGTATATGAATGAATGAAGGAAGGAAGGAATTTTATTATTGTGCCATGCATGCAGTAATGCCCAGCCTGCATGGGCTTCCAAGACACCATGAAATCAAAATAAGCCAGGACCAGAGTCCAGTGTACATATTTTCAGGCAACATTAAACGGAGGGAAAATGTAGCAAAGCAATAAAAGCCTCCTACATAATCAGATTGTCACTGTCTAAGATCAAGTTCATGGATCACTCATGAAGGCATTTACCATGTAGCACTGATGAAAATCAAAATAAGTACTAATTAAACAATCATCTGAGCACCAGAAAATGTTAGGGTCTAGACCAGGGGTGTCAAACTCATTTTAGTTCACAGGCATACTGTCTGATTTGATCGCAGGTGGGCCGGAGCAGTAAAACCACTGCATAATATCCTAGATATAACAAACACCTCCAAATTTGTCCCTTTTTTTGTTTAAAGACGTACATTTCAAAAATGCTAATCCATTTACAAAACAGATGACAAATAAATAAATGCAATTTCAACAATATTTCTCAGTTTTTCCACATTAAGTCGACTACTCACTGGTATTACATGTGTATTTTTCTGTACATTTCTACTCCTGTGTAGTAATCCTTACATCACCACACCAAACTGAAGTTAAAGAAAAGATCTGTATTCTGGTGGAAAAGCATTTGAAGCAACATTTTTACTTAAAGAATACTACTCACTGTTTAACTTCACACGTGCATCACTATTATGTGTGCAAGGCCATCCAGTGGGCTCAAATGCACCCTTTGGCGGGCCAGTTGTGGCCCCTGGGCCATATGTTTGACACCCCTGGTTTAGACAAACCATTTCATGGAACATTTACTCTCTTAAGTCATCATAGTTTGTACAATATAAAAGAAAATGGGACTCACTTTCGACTTCACCCAATCACATAACTCACATAATCTGTTTTCCTCCTGAATACTGTTGAATGGCCCAACCCCAACGGCCAGTGGAAGAGTACAAATTCTCAGCTGTGCATCTAAAGATTTTTGGCTTCTAGATAAGCGAGATATTACATATGGTTCAGGGTCAAACTTCTGTTTCATTTGCACAGATGTCCTTTATTTAGGCACTGACAGAATAGACCCATATAAGCTAATTGTTGAGCACTGATATTAAATGACACATCTTACAAGGAGCTCTTGCAATTGAAATCTAATCTGACCACTGGAAGTGATGTCATCTCCATCTTTGGTTGTAATCTCTCTGCTAAAAATGGACCCAGAAATGCCAAGGTAGATCTGATCAAATATACCCAGGCTAATGCCTATCTAGCAGCATATAACTGTGAAACTTTCAGGCTCCCCTTGTTTGATTGAAACGGTTGTCTGATCGCCTGCACACCACCAGCAGCTAACAAACACTCACCGCATCTCCATTACTAGCTAAGAAAGCTGCAACATCAGTGCAGCAACACAATGGCAGAGGCAGGCTGGTCTGCCTGCATGCTCTGTGTTACATAACATCTAACACGTGAGCTGAGCACAAGGACAGCCTCAACAGCCAGTCCAGCCACACATCCTCCTTCTGTTAACTATCAGCGAAACACACCGTTTAACAGCGTTTAGTTTAGCACAGTAACCGTGTCACAATACGACTCAGAGCAGCTATCGTGATGTTATGTAACAATAGGCAGCACACAGTCCTCTGTGTTTGAGCACTCACCAGTCGCAGCTTGTCTTGTTTTGTTTTCAGCAGCACAGCTGGGACACCACCAGACGCACTTCCGCCCTGCTGTCCAGCCAATCAGGTGTCTCCGTCTCGCTGACAGATCGCCACACCACCACAGTGCGCCTGCAGATAAAAACCAAAAAGTCAGTCTGCTGTGCTGCAGATAATGCGTTTAATATTACCACAAGATCACCATAACAACTCTATGGCAAGCTGACAAACTATGGGTTTAGACTTTATTTATTTAATTATTTCATTGCAGTTTTCCTGTACTATGTCTGTGTTAGCCAATAGAAATCCTGCAGTGTAGTATTTATTTTATTTCCTATAGTGGGCTCTTGGATGAAAAAATCAAAATGTCCCTGTATATTTAAACCATCAGGGCCGTAGCTAGGATTGTTGAAATACTAGGGTCATGAGTCAACGCCCCCCACCCCACCCCCCCAGAAAGTCTCAGATTTCTTTATATGTATTTCTCATACTGAGGTGTTCCACCATATTTTCTTATTTTATAATAATCTTTATTCATAAAGCACTTTACAAAACAGAGTTACAAAGTGCTTTACATGTCAATAACTAAAACAGGCAAACGACAACTTCTAAAAGAACTAATAAAAGCACTTAAGTGTGTAAAAACCAAGGAAAAAAATACAGTCTAAATGAATCTTAAGTGCAATATCGTAGGCAAATGGACTTGTTTGAGGACATCATCCAAGAGGCATCTTTAGTTCTGAACTGAAGCCTCTTGGACGAGAGGCTAAACGTTTTCAAGAAACTCAAGCAAGTCCAGCTGCCCACGATATAGCACCTATGATTACCATGACCTGGATGACTGAGAATCTTTACCGACAACACAAGTAAAATCAGGAAAGGCTCTTCTACAAAAGTATGTTTTAAGAAGGGACTTAAAGAGATCACTGACACAGCCGACCTGATTTCCTCGGGTAGATTGTCCCAGAGCCTCGGGGCCCTGACAGCAAGCGCTCTGTCCCCCTTATTTTAAGTCTGACGATTCAAAACAAAAAAAAAAGACAAACAAATTCCACACAACTTAATAACCCTGAACTTAATATGACAATATCACCAAATTAAAAGGGTCTTTCCAGGAACTACTTAAGAAATTATTGGGAAATTACAGACCCCCAAAACAAAACAACCAGTCCCTGTCACAAAAAGCTAAGTTGTGTTTCAAAGCATCTTCACATACTTTTTTACTAAATATAAACTTACTTTAAGTCTTAAAATTAAGTCCAGTTTTTGTTGTGACTGTCTCACAAAGGTGATTTTTAAAAGCGCTGTGTATGGTGTCACCACTGAATTGCATTATATTGTCAGGTGATGTACCAGCAATGGCCTACTCACAATGTAATGCAATGCAAGACAATATAAATCACACACAAAGACCTCAAAACAAGAGACAGCAGGTCACCCATTAATCACACAGTTGGTGGTTTGATCCCCAGCTACCCCTGTTCACATGTCAAAGTGTGAGACACTAAACCCCAACTACTCCTTAAGTCAGTGGTGTTGTACGGTACCTCCGTTGCCATCTACAGCAGGTGTGAGTCTGTGAGTGTGCATTGGTGTTGTATAAATGCAGTTCATTAACCATTTACCTCAGTAATTGTTATATAGTTGAGTCAAACCTTCTGTGACAGAGTTTCAATGGAACTCAAACAGATTTAAGATTTACATCATCTTAATAAATCTACATGTATGTAACATATTGTAATTTCCTCAAACACATTCCTAACCCATGTTACATTTGAGATTAGCTGTAGATTACCGTAATTCTATTACTTCTGCACCTTTTAAAACAATAGCGCACTAACAAGTGTTTCATGATGTGTGACAACTCTCAGTAATGAAGAATTGTCTCTCAAAGCCAGTGTGTTGCTGAATGACGCACAAAAAAGAAGGAAAAAAAAGTCATTTACCACTTCTTTCATCTCTCAGATGAAGGCAGCCCAAATAATAAAAAAAATAAAAGCCTGTGAAAATGAGTACAAAAGCCATTTAATCTCTCTCATCTTCCTCTTAATAACTGCAAATTTCCCCTTGGGCCCATGGGAGAGGGCCTCTCTGTGCCGCTGCCACCTTATCTGTCGCCTCCATATTTCAGCATGCTGAGCGGCTCCCTCAGTACCCAGCCCCCGGCCTCCTCTCGCCGGGGCCTGTGGGGAAGCTGGGCTCCTGGGCCCGCCATTGTTCTGGGCTGGGAGGAAAGTCCGGAGAGAGCCCTGAAAGCTGGAGAAAGGGAATATTAAAAAAAAAAAAAAAAAATTTGAGCCACTGCTTCATTAAGCGGCAGCCTTTCACAAGCAAACATATCAGAAACAGCCCCCTTTCAGAGGCAGTAATTAGCAATTTGGAAACCTTGCCCCCTCAGGATATACAGTTTCAATTTAGTCAGCAGCTTTAGATTCTTAGGCACTTAATATTCATTGTTTCTGCCATCTTCCCAATTTCTCAACGTACATTGTCTAGTCTTTCACTGGCGATAAAGTGTTTTATCTTTCATGTAATTCTTCTTTTCAATGAGCCCTCTGCAAGAGAAGTTAATTTTTATAAATAATTTTCAAAGGGATTTGCAAAGAATGTGAGGGATATGATAGCAAAGTGCTCTTCAGGAAGTGCTGGGCTGAATATCATGCGGAGCTTGTGCTTGATTGATTAAGTCTGGCTGTAAATAGTGTCCGGGAAAAGTTCCTGTGACTTACTGGGAAGTTATACTGCAGCGAAAACCTCTACGACTAATGACAGAGATCAGAAAGTAAAGAATACTCAAGATTGAATGATAATATTTGATAAAAGGACATCCAGATGTATCAGCACAGATAAAAAACATCTTCAGTTTGCAAGATTTGTAGCTTGATATTGGCTTATTTACTTCTATTTCACAATTACCGACTTATAAGTACTGTTATCATGAATTATGTGCCTGTGTTTATATTGGCATGGCAAACCCTCTGCGTGGATTCATGGCAAATGTTTGCGAACTGCTTATTAAGCCAAACCACATATCTTACCTCAGGGGGGCAAGACTGACACTTATCTTTGCCACCATGGAGCCTTTGTTTCAAAAACGCTACCACTTCCATTCATTTCCAATCAGCATTGTCTAATAGAAATAATTGATTTTTGCCTCTTTCCCACAAATGAAAAACGCTTGTGATTAAACATTTTGTCTCCAAATCTAAATTCCAAGATCCCCATCAACACTTGAGAAAAATAGGCAACTCATTAAAGCAAAAGAGAGAGAGAGAGAGAGAGAGAGAGAGAGAGAAGAAGAAGAAGAAGCAGCAGCTAAGACGTGAAAAGAGGAGGCAGGGAATGAAATAATGAATGGAGTCCGAGTGAGCTATCTTTCCCAGGCAGAGCGCCACTAGGGATGCAAACTCTCAGCCACCAGAAATGAGCTACCTATCTGTGAAAAGAGTGACTGCTCCATCCTATTTGATTTGGCCCTCCTATCATCTCTTAAGAAGATGTCAGCCTTGCTTCTTCTATTGCTCTGAGCCTTTATCAACCCGGAGACGATTTCCCTGCAAAAAAAAAAAAAAAAGAGGAGGGGGGAGACGCATTTCAGTGCCTTTCAGGGAGCAACACTAAAGAATAAGTGTTATGCGATAAAAAGGGGGTTGTTAAATAGATCTGTCTATTTGTATGGTAATAATGATCGCTTAAAGACTCGGGGCTCCGTGACTTGTAGAACAAGGAAACAAATCTGTATTCAGGTGTTGTGTTAACACTACTCTCCAAACGACCTTGTGAAACTTTCATACAGTAAAAAATGAGTTGGATTCTCGAGTTTTTTTTCCGTTCCTCTTTGTTTGTAGCATTCTTTCTCCTGTCCTTTTAGAGTGGAGGAGTCCCTGCACTGAGCAAAGCTGCCCATCTCAAACTACTGGAGCTCTCTGCATTTTAAATGATCTTTGTCACAGTTTTTCTTGACAGATTTGAAACATTAAATTCAATATCAGCCATAAATTTGTAACAGTGTGTCTGGTAGTTTATTATGTTTGGATACTTGTGATGGGGTCTTGAATTCTTTGCTACTTTTAACATGATTTCAGACCATTTAAAATAATATTGGCAGTAGTGGAGAAAGTATTTAGACCTTGTACTTAGGCAAAATTAGCAATACCAGAACTTCAAATACACTCAAGCACAAGAAAAAATCCTGCTTGAACAAAAGTACAGAAGTACTGGCAGCAAAATATACTTAAAGTATCAAAAGCATATATACATGGGTTGTTACTGATTTATTGATGCATTAACATGTAAGCAGCATTTTAGTGCTGTAACAATGATTTTTGTTTTTCCATCTTTAAAGCAAATAATAACCAGAGGTAGGATCAAGTCTTTGTTTTGCAAATTGCAAATAAGTCTCAAGTATTCGTACTCAACTCCCAAGACAAGTTCCAAGTCAAGACAGACAAGTCTCGACTTAAGTCTCAAGTCCTAAACTTTGAGTTTTGAGTCCTAAACAAGTCATACTGCGCTCTTCAACAAATGCCATTTTAACTATAGAGTAATACCATATTAAATTTACAGAAATTGTAAATAGTTTTTAAAATTTGTTTTTATTTGTCAATACAACTTTGTTGGAAGTTGTTACATCTTTATCTGTAATTTTTTACCCACACAGTACTCAATTTGGTTATTGCTGACCATTTGAGTAGTTTTTGTACGTCAACAAAAATATCTTTGGTATTGTTTTTTTCCAACTGGTGCTCAGTAACATAATATCCTTCAGAGAACTCGTATTCCATGCGGAAGGTCCAGGATTCGAATCCTGCTGTGGTTGGCGTCAGCAAAGGCATGGGGTCACAAGAGGTTCCCACCACCGAATCAAAGGGATCAGATTCCTTAAGGAGGCTTCAGAATAAGAGAGTAACTCTGGAATCTGAGCCCAAGTCCTCAACGAGGGCGCATCTCAAGCCTGTTGTAGACGGGAGGTTCCAGACGTAAAAGCAGATTCAGCTCTCTCCTGCAACTTGATTGGATGCTGTCGGATTGGTTCAAACAAAGCGGATCTTGTGAATTATGTGACGACTTGCTGGTAATGAATAGCGTCAATGTCAGCTGATTCAAGAAATGAAGGGAAATAAAGTGATTGAAGGCACACTTTTTACATAACATAATGTATGATCTTTGGACTTGGGGTAAGGTATCAAGCATTTTCAAGTCAAAAGGGTCAAGTCCAAATGAAGTGACCAGGCCAAGTCCAATTGCGAGTCTAAGGTCATCAAATTTGTGACCCAGGTAATGTGACTTCAATCCACAGCTCTAACAGTAACTGTAGCAGTCAGACACTGTATATGTGACTGAAAATGTTCCTTTAGAAATGTAGTAGAAGTATAAAGTAGGATAAAATGGGAATACTTACAAGTAAAGTGCAAGTACCTCAATATTGTACCTATAGTGCTGGGGTACATGACCTAAATGTTACTTTCCACAACTGAATATTGGCTACCCTTTAATATCGATCACCAGTTCCTCAGCATTATAAGTGTGTCCCAGTTTCACCAAAACCATCAAAACCACAGCGATACCTGCTGACTGTCAAAAAGCCAACCCTCAGGTCTCTCATTAGGATTCAAAGGCTCCGGTCCTCTGTCCCCAGGTGAAATACGCCATTAACAAAATTATCTGAAAAGCTGCGCCCATAAACCTCAGGAGCATTGTTTTGTTGTTGTCAAGCAAATCAAATAGTAAATAGGGGGTTTGTTTGTTGTGCTGCGTACCTGGAGACCCTCCTGTACAATGTTTCAGATGCATCACTGTCATGGGTGGCCATGTCAAGCTGCTCCACCAAGGTGCGTTTGACATGTCAATTTAGCAGGTGGCAGGTTGAAAACAGAGCCCGGTCTGATGATCTTTTATCTCCTCTTTTTTTTAAGATATTTTTTTGGGCATTTTTTGCCTTTAATGGACAGGACAGTTAAGTGTGAAAGGGGGAGACAGAGAGGGGATGACATGCAGCAAAGGGCCACAGGCTGGACTCGAACCCAGGCCGCTGCGGCAACAGCCTTGTACATGGGGCACCTGCTCTACCACTAAGCCACTGACGCCCCTTTTATCTCCTCTTTTGATATCTGCGAGGCATGTCTGTGTAAACAGGGCAACTCAAAAATGTCCGATTCTTCAAACAGAGCAGCAGAGGGCTTTACGTTTATGTGACTGAAAAGTCTCCATGTCACTGCTGGTGTAATTCTCTCTGTGTTATTCATGTGTAAACCTTTGACCTTTGTTTCTTGTCATGTTCTCTCCTCATGTTTCCAGTCTTAAGAAATGGGTTTACACTTCTTGTCTTGTATATTTTGCCAGATATTACTTACTCTATTGTTTCTAAAACTGGGCCCAGTGTGTGACCCTGACCCAGGGAACCCACTGGTTGTTGTGGTTGTAAATGTTAAATTGTGATTACTGCACTTAGTGTTATGAAAAAGCAAGATTTTGCCCCAAAAACACTTTTAAAAAATTATATCTCAGTTAGAAATATTGTGTCTTTGTTGAAACTAAGTGTTCTTTTGTCATTTCTTTCTTCAGTATTTCAGTGCTTTGTTATGCTTTGAAGGTCTGTCTGTGCTACAGAATGTTAGACACATGAGCAGTATTCAAGGTGTACAAAAAGCATTCTTAAGCGTCTCACCACTTATAAAATTACAATTGTGTGTGTTTTGTGTTGTACTGTATTGCTGCCTGATCAGAGGAGGACACAGACAACACAAAGCTCTCCAGGCCCGGCGCTGAAGCACTAGAGTAGATTGATTAGCCTGCTCAGTTTGGCTGATTAATCAGAGCCTGTTAGGTGGAAACGAGCACCATTTACAGCTGATTATCTTTCCAGAAGGCAAAATCTTAAGGTACAGTGTAATCCACAGTGGAACTTTTTAACCTCTGTTTAAATCCAGCACTTTCCAGCTCCTGACTTCAGTGATAAAAATGCTGCTTAAGTTTCACATTACTGCTGTAGGACTATTGGGCTCAGTGTTTTTCCACTTGAATTTGATAATGGCCATCAAGTCAAAGCAGAAGGGAAAAATATTTCCCTCAATCAGTTCATGCATTAAATTCAGCAAAAAAAATTACCAGACATGCTAATTACAATGGCAGCTAAATTACCTATAGGTAAAGGCTGTAGCCTGAACCCTCAGGTAGGGACCTCCTGATCATCCAAAGATTTAGGCTGAAGAGGACAAGACATAAAGATGAAAATCCTGCTTGAGTGGCTACAAATT